AGTGCCTGCTGCATGGGGAGTCTGACCTATAACAGTATTGTCCCTTTATATTCCAGCACCTTCAATTCTTAATAATCCGTAGGCAAATTTTTAAATGAAGTAGAACTTGTGGTTTTATCCACAATATTTGCTCCTCAAAATTTGTTCTTCAATATTTGTTAATCATTTTCAGTCATTAACAGTTTTTACTATTCTGTTTTTATTTGAAGACTTAAATTCTAATTTCAACTCAGATCTTTGAAATCTTTATGAAGAGACCTGAATCGGGAGGGTAGGAATTTGGTGGTCAGATTGGAGAGTAGAAGTAACTTTTGTCATTCTCACAGTGGAATTGCCCCATTCCATTGTGATAATAATAGGTGAAAAGTGAGAAGTGGTCATCTCGCTTATGGGCATGGATAAGGAGGCAAGTATCATTTCTCAGAATTTAGGATATTGGATAACATTATACAAAGAATGGTGTGTTGAATGGTATGAGCTATGGAAAATTCCATGTTTTTAGGTTTGAATATCAACTATTCCCCTTCTCACTTTTGGTAATGTTTATCTGATTGTGAATTACTAGAGCTGCTACTGCTACTCACTATGACTCCTTAATACTATTACTACTAATGTGACATGTTTGCATAGAACTTGATCATTTTACCCTTTTTAGTTTGAATCTGTCAACATCTCCAGGAGATAGTTATTATGAACCATGCAGAGATGAGAAGAGAGGGAGATGAGAGACTTGTTTGAGGTCACAAAGCACCTCATCCTCAGGTCTTTGGATGCCAAGTCCGTTTTCCTTCTTATTCCAATATTTCTCTGCACTGGCAAACTACCACATAAGGACTATCCCTTCATCCCTTCAATGTAAGACATTGGGCCACTCATACATGCATCTCAACTTTCTAAAGGTTGAAAATTATGAAATGGAATTTACCCATTATGAACAAAATACAGGGCATATTCCAGTTCATGGCATGCTGATAAAAACTATTTTGGTAGCTAGAGTCCCAGGAGCAACTTCCTCGGAATTATCATATTCCATATATATTTTCACTTCCTTTAAGCCACTTATTTTAAACCATATATCTACATGCATCCTTTTGTTTCTCCAGTTGACTGAGAGGTGTTTGGTGGCAGGCTTACTCTTCTCTTTTTCTCTATCCCGGTACATGTTACAAGTCTTGTATTTATCAATATTTATTCAACAAGTATTTGTTGAAGTCTCTGTGTGTCATGCACAGTGATGGATGTTGGGGGCACGATGGTAAAAATAAATGACAAGATTAGTAGTCATGGAGCTTATGGTGAGGAAAGAAAAGGAAACAAAAATTATAAAATATAGTGATTGCTCTTGCAATACAAAGATGAAGTAGAAGATGGAACTGCAGGAAAGTCTTCCTGAGATATGCATGTATAAGGGAAACTGCAAAGTTTTGAAAGTGAACTGGTTATATACTAGAGATGGTTAAGTCATTTATTTAAGTCATGAATTCTAAGTATCCTTTTAAAAGTCTATTAATTAAGTTCTTAATACTTAATACAGTACTTCTTAATATTTTATAGAAGTACTGTACTTATAAAGCTGTCAATTGGGGTTATAAGGGATAACCTGCTGTGTTTTTTTAAATGAGTCTTTAAATTTGCTTTATGTTATAAAGCAATCTTTGTCATCAATCATTTATATTCAATAAACTAGTAAGAAGTATGGTCCATATGGATGGGCAAGATGAAGGAAAAAGTGTAGGCTTGAGTGGGATGAATCTGGGTTCTAGCCAGATCTGGGACATCTGGGTTGTATTACTATTTCTCAGTTTCCTCATCAGAAATCTGATGGTATTCCTAGCCTTAGAGTTCTATCCTTAGGACTAGTAGCCACAGGTGATTGGGAAGGAGTGATCACAAGTGTGGTAGCGTGCCTGGGAAGTATTCAGCTCAGCAAATGATCTTTTAATTATCATTAACTAATCAAAAGGAGAAAGTTGACACAGACAAGGAAATCAAGCATGAAATTCTAGAAAACAACCAATTATAAATTCTTCCACTTAGCATTTTTCCCTAAGCTTTTAAAATAAGTTCACTTCTTATAAGACTGGGTATACCTACAGAATAGAGAAGGTGTGTTTTGAATTGGACACAATCAGTGTTCTTTCAGGTGAGATATGAAACACCAGATGTAGTGTATACACTATGTGATAGAGGGCAACTCTTCTCAACCTTGCCTAACCATCTTAACTCAGAGAGTCTCTTCAACACTGAAACTAAGATAATGAGTATTGTGGGAAAACATAGCTTTGATTAAGTCTGAACTTTTTTAAGTCTAAATTTCACTGGACTTTAAACTCTTAACACTATGTAATGACCCATTCTTAAATCACAGGACTCTTTTGGACATGACGCCATTTGTTACTGCATTTTGATATGTCATCTGCCTTACCTTTCATTGTGAGATAATTTTACAATTTTATCTAATCTATTTTATATGTGCCTTTTGTCATTCAGTTATATTATCACTGCTGAGGACAGGCAACATTTGATTGTCCGTAGCTCCTTAAACATAGTAGTCCTTGAGTACTTGTGAATGGATTTACTGTCTGAACTTCTTGACTGATGTGAGGCTAGAAAGTGTGAATGAGTTTCAGGGATAAGAAAAGAATCCTAATCTTCTAACTCCAGTCACTTGAGAAGCAATACAGTCCACGATTTAATAAAATATTCATAAGGCACCAAACAGTAAAATGCCATGTAGAGTAGGTTCTCCATAAGCATTTGTTCAGCTGAAATAAATTAATTGCATAGTCTCTCTCTCCAGGAAAATACAAATTGTCAAGGCAGACAAATACAAGGTGAGGTAAAGGAATACAAAATATGAGATAGATTTAGATTATATAAAAATTAAACCTAACTAACTCAGCTTGTCACAAACAAAAATGTTCGATCAATTCTGAGAGAATGAATTAATCAATAAATTCGGACTGACCCATTTGTCTCCTTTGCCTGTTTGTCTTATCTGAAATAGTCATAGTAAAAATTTCCCAACCTTCATTTCTGCTGGCTATGGAATTGGTAGTAATCTCAGAATGATAACTAGGATATGGCATGTCAGCAGTGGGATGTTTAAGTAATCAGAGCAATTTAATTAAAATCAAAAGCACCATCATATTTGCAAGCAATTATTGTCCCCTAGAGAGTGTCACAGTTTTGTCCTTTTATTCCTATAGTTACCTGATGCTTCCACTCACTGCAGATTTTTGTGCATTTGTCTTATTTTTAAAGAAATTATGCACAGTATTTTATTGACCACTAGATGTTGTTCCAAGAGTTTTCTCCTTAGAATAACGGATTACTCCTTTCTAGCCCCTTTTACTAACTCTCTCCATCTTCAGAGCTGGTGGCTTTCAGAGCACCATCATTCCCCTTTTTCTATTGTTGATATAAATATTCTGTCACAATGATCACTTTGCTTCCAACACTTTAACTACCAGTCCAATCAGTACTCGACAAAATCGTAATTACATTTCCCTTCTCTCTTCTTGGCTCCAGATCCACTCTTTCAGTTTGATGTCCTGTGGGTGCTCCAAAAACAACTTGTCCTTAATCAAAGTCATTCTTTTCTCCTTTATGTGCCTCTTTCTGGATTTCCTGCTTGTTTAATTGGTAGTATCACATAACCCGAGGCCAGAACCCGGCAGTCATGCTTAGTGGTTTCCCACAACCTCCTTACTCAGACCACGTCAGTACAACCTAAATACATACAATTTTTCTTTATTAATCATACCTCAATACAACTGAAGGAAAACTGGACAACGTTCCACTGATTCTTATTCAGAAATGTTAACAGCCTCATATGTTCCTCCTCAGTCCTGGTAGCTTTGACTTAGTCACCAGATCCTATTTGTTCCAGTAACTTCCTAACTGGGCTCATGGCTTCCTGTTCTTTTGGCTCCATGCTGCCCTCTACATTAGCAATCATCCGGTTTTCTTTCATGAAATGTAATGTTCACAGACTGAATCTATCTTTTCTCTTTGGTCTGTCATTGCCTAAAGGAGAATTCTTTAGTTACGGTTTTTATTTTTTTTTGCTGTGATAGTGACATGGGATTTCTGCCATTTTGATTTTTGTGGTGGAGACACATGTCAACTGAGGGCTCACATCTGGGATTTTCATTTCTTTCTTTTTTTTTTAAAGATTTATTTATTTATGCATACAAGAACTGGGGGACAGGCCAGAGGTGTAAGAGGTGAGAGGATTCACCAGAGACAGAGTGGGGAGCAGAACAAGCAGACTGACTGAAATACACTGCTGAGGAGAGGTCTGCTGTGCCATGTGGGTTGCTCCCTGGCCGGCCCGGGATCAAACTCATGCTGCAGAGGCTGTGGATTGTTTCATAGTGCGGTGCTTAACCCCTTGCACCAGCAGGGAGGCCCTCTTAGGGATTTTCTTGATGAAAACTCTTTTTACAACACAGCATTATGCAGATGTGTAAGAATAATACTGCAGTACTATGAGCTTTAAAATGAAATCAAGTTTAAAGGAGATCAACTCATAAATAAAAGCAGCAAAATCTTCCTCCTATGTAATAAGTGGGCGTATGCGTATAAGGTGGGGATATGTGTATAAGATGCATGCATATGTTTTTTAATCCAGGCATTTTTCCTTTGGCTGTTGTTAAATTAGTTGAAATAACCCTCCTTTTACTCTTGATGCTCATCACGAATTTTATACACTTTATTTTTCTTATAGACATCCACAAAAGTAATGTTTTAGTTTAGAAAAAAAAAACAATGTATGAGTAAGAAATTGATGTAATTTATTTGATACATATATTATAACACAAATAAACATGATTTCTTTAAATAGGTGAGAATGACAGATGTTTTGAGAAGCAATATCCTACACTAAATCATGTGTTTTTATAGATTAGTAACCTTACTAGGTTTCTTAATTAAATAAATGCCCTTTCTGAATGACTTTCACATTCTTCTTCTTTTTTTTTTTTTTTTTTAAATAGGTGGTGTTTGCATTGCTCAATCACAAAAAATACCACGTGAACCAAGACCTGGAGAATTCGAAAAAATTATCAAACGCCTGCTGGAGACACCTAATGCTAGGGCGGTGATTATGTTTGCCAATGAAGATGACATCAGGTGCTGATTACTTTTTTTCCTTATGTGGAATAAGACTTATGACCCACATCCTGTTTTAAACATAGTTCACGTTCAATGTAAAATCTACAATTTCACAGGAATTGCAACATTCTCATGCAATTACAGACTTCCTTCTTCTATTCAAAGACATACCAGCCGTCTAGTTTCTAAGTCTGAAATGCCTATAGAGTGAAAACTGGAAGCTGAGAGAAATAAGATAAATAAGGATGATAGACAAAATGATGCGAATGAAGTTAAAGATAAGAGTAATTAACAGGTGCTGGAGTCAACATCTCCAATATATTTCTTTTAGGAGATGATAATATTCAAGCAGTTAGAATGATTGACTAATTGCTCAACAGTGACCTAGCTGGTCTTATAACATTCATAAGCACAGAATTTCTTAAAAAAATTGGTGTGCTTTCTTTCTTTTTGCTCCAATAGGAGGATATTGGAAGCAGCAAAAAAATTAAACCAAAGTGGTCATTTTCTCTGGATCGGCTCAGATAGTTGGGGATCCAAAATAGCACCCGTTTATCAACAGGAAGAGATTGCAGAAGGCGCTGTGACAATTTTGCCCAAAAGAGCATCAATTGATGGTAAGGACTCATCATAGAGGATTTGTTTCATTCCAACAGAATCAAAACTCAAAGGCAAAAGCAGAGTATCAGTCTATGGTGAAATGCATCCATTATTGATGACTGTGGATAGAAGTTTTTAGCTCTGATGGAAGAATTGCTAAGGCAGTAACTGTTTAACTCAGCATATTATAGTTTTATTGGAAAAGAGTATTTTGATTTTTGTTAACAATGAGAACTAGATCTGGCTTTTAGATATTTCCACAATGTTAGCAATTACCCTCTGTGTTTGTATATTTCTGTGGGTTTATAAGAGTAGCATTGTAGGAGAGAGAGTGCTTGCTTTTTAGAAAATGACATATGATGCTGGGGTGACCAGATGGATAAATAAACTCAACAGTAAACATACGGAGCATCCTGAGAAGCAGTTTGTCTCTCAAATATCTTTTCCAATGGTCTTGACAATGACTGAAATTCCTGCTTTTACTGTAACCCTTTGCAATAATGCATGATCTCCAGGCGATCTCTCTTCAATGAGGTGGTTCCCTGAGTAGGATGACACTTTAGCCCATCACCCATGACTCCACAAGATTACATATAACACAGATCAGTTTACTGAATTAGCTGAAAATGGAACATTTTAGGACAGATAAATTTTGAGACAGGTAGAAGAAGCTTGGCACATTGACCCCTGTTGAGAGAGAGAAGAATAAGAAAATTGAGCTGGTTTTAAATATTCAGCATGAAGTCACTAGTCACTGTCACTGGGAAACCCAGAGGATGACACCAGCTACAGATGTGTCTGTTATGCTCATCCCTGAAGCAGATGCCTGAACAGTGAGTAGTAGAAGTAGAGGCATTGTCCATTGATTCTTTTCAGCTTTTGCCATAAGGGAAGTCTTATTTCTGGCCCATTGCTCCCCTCATTTGTTATATGTTTTTGAGTTTTTTTTTTCCCCATGCAATGATCACAGCCTAACATGAAATCCATTCAAAATATCTGATAGTATTTGGTTTCCATTTTAAACAAATATTAACATCAGACCTTTCTCCTCTAAAATAGGGTTTGATCGATACTTCAGGAGCCGAACTCTTGCCAACAATCGAAGAAATGTGTGGTTTGCGGAATTTTGGGAGGAGAATTTTGGATGCAAGTTAGGATCACATGGAAAAAGGAACAGTCATATAAAGAAGTGCACAGGTAAATGTTTTTGTTTTATCATTATCTGAGAAACGAAGTTTTTCTGTATGACTAAAAATTCTATTGTTTGTGTATTTCCTATGTGGGTTCTTTATCTCATGTGTGAGTAATGATAAGGGAATCTTCTGCTTCCCACATGGACAATGATAAGGGACCCTTCTACTGTCCATGTGAATAACAATGTGTCTTCTCTTTCCTTGTGTCTCTGAATATTGTTTCTCACACAGCTGAGCAGACACTGGTCATTCAACCAATTTAATGTTGTTCGTTGGGTCTCACAGTCAACCAACAAGTATTTATTGAACAGGTGCCAAGTGTCCAACACAGGAGTATTTAAATTCTATTTCAGAAACATTTATGGAGTGTCTATTCTTGGCAAAGCACTTTATTGTGTTTGGTGGTATATAGACAAATAAACAAGACACAATATTGCTTTTCAAGGACTCAAATGTAATGAGGATGATGGATCATGATAAATTGCTGTAAGATAGTGTTTTTCAACTATTTCAATCCCTGCCTACTACACTATTATTATTCCTCTGTATCCAGCATTGCTTAGCTGCTATGTTTGTTTGATGTTTTACTTTATACATTGCAATTAAAAATAGTAATGATATTGGAAGTGCATTTTAAAATGTAAGGAGGAAACTTTCATTTGAAAATAACATAATTGTGTGCATATAAACACTGGAATTTTAAAAATTTGTTAGAACTAAGTAGTAAATTTAGCAAAAGTCACAGCTAGAAGGTCAATATAAATATCAACTTTTTAATTATTGTACATATTTTAATATATGTACTTGGTGATGTATATATATATATATATATGAGATACAATCACATGGAAAATGAAATTTAAAGAATACATTTTATAGCATAATAAAAAATCCATAAAATATCAGGGATAATTCTAACAAAGATGCATAAATCTACAGTGAAACTATAAAACTTGAATGAGCATTTTATAACCACACTCCTGCCTTCCTCCCTCCCGCCCCCATATTCTGATATGTCTTCCTTTCCCTCTCCTCTCTTCCTTTGCAAATAGTTGTTCAAATAAGAGATGCCACGCAATAAGTGCTAGAGAAGACATGTAAGCAGAGTGAGGATGGGTATGTGAGATTTGGCGCCGCCCTGTGGCGGGATCCCGCCCTGTGCGGGATCTTTCCCATGTGCTGGGCACTGTCCCAGGAGCTGGAATGAATGAATGCAGACAAGGTGTATGGTCAGGGAACTTACATCCTAGTGTGAGAAGAGCAGCACAAAATAAGTAAACATATAAAGGGAGAGACCACCAGGTCCTGAGAAATGCATAGAAGAAACAGTAAATGTGCTAGAGTGACCTGGTGTTGTCGGGAAAATGGGAACCATTAGATTGTAGGAACAGAGTTTGCTTCATCAAGGAGGAGAGCCCTGCATGGCAAGAAGTCGGCAGCCAGGTGACGGTTGGAGGGTGTCCCATGCCAGGTTACAGGGCAAGTCTGTTTTCTTCCAGATACAGGAAAAAAAAATATTTAGAGAAGAGAGTTTGGAATAAGTGAGAGGGAGCATAGTATGTGAGAAGGAGCGAAAGCTAAGGAATAGGCTGGGGCCAGATCATGCGAGGGCTTGAAGTTTGAATTCTTTTTTTTTTTTTTAAAGATTTATTTATTTATTTATTTATTTATTTATTTATACAAGCACTGGGTACAGTCAGAAGTGTGGGAGGATGAGAGAATTCATCAGAGCCAGAGCGGGGAACAGAACAGTGACAAAGCACACTGCTGAGGGGAGCAGCAGGCACAGCAGGAGAGATCTGCACGCCATGTGGGACCTTCGCTGGTGGCCAGGGCTCGAACTGGCGCTGCAAAGGCTGTGGGCAGCTTCGCGGCCCAGCGCTCAACTGCTGCGCCACCAGGGGAGGCCCAAGTTTGAATTCTTGAGCTCCAGAGCTGAGGTGTGTGGGCTTTCTCCTACCTGTAGGCTGGAATTACTGTATTGAAGATTCCTCTGGCAGCAGAAGTGTAAGGAGGATTGGAATTTAGGGGAGGGAAAGGAGAAAGTTCAGTGAGGACTCATCCAGTTGTCCTGGTGATGGGTGGTGATGGCTGAAACAAGGATGTACCATTTGGTGCTTGGACACAGAGGACAGAGGTCCTAGTATGTGTTTATGGCACATGGAGACTTAACCCTGTGGTTATTGGTAAGGGATGAAGATCTGACTGTTCAATATGTACCAGCAAGTTCTAGGAAATGAGTGATGTAGTTAACAGAGAAGAGAGAATGAATAGTGAATTTGGATTTGGTTAATAGCCCCATGGAACTGCCCAGCAAGAGGCAGCATAAGGTCCAGGACCCCACAGAGATTCCCACACTGAAAATACAGATGAGTTAGCATTAGATGGAGACCTGGGAATTAGAGGTGCAGTTCCCATAGGAGACTGAGCAGAGATGAGGGCTAACAACCAAGGACTCAAGAGCAGGAGCCAGAGAGGAAAGCAAGCATGTGGGTTTGGGGGACAGGGATGAACTGGGCATCAGTGTCATCTCAGCTGGCAGAAGAGATGATGGGGCTTGCAGTTTCAGTGCTACAGAGCAGTGTGGTGAGGATAAAGAAGAGAGAGAGAGGGCTTCAACTTTTGAGGACTTGAGACAGAGACAAACAGAAAATGGAAAAAAGATTGCAGATTTCCTTAGATGGGGCACATTTAAGCATGTCTTCAGCAAACATGCTATTCAGAAGAATAACCAGAGAAAGAGAAATTAAATGTGGCATAAGCTATTGACAGAAACTTTAGGGAAAGGCATTAAGAGGTTGTCCCTTTAAATAAAATGCAAACACATACTTAAGTGTGTGTGGGGGAAGAGATCGCATAATGAAATGTTAAGTTTGGACATAGTTATTAAGGAAGTTTAGGGAATGCAGATTGTAAATCCCAGTTGTACAATTCAAAGCTTCATGGAGAAGATGAATGTTTGCTAATGAGAAAAATTTGAGAAAAAGCACCCACGGTGAGGGAACAGGTGGGTCAGCAAAGCAGGGCATGGAGGAGGATGCGGCAGGGAGATGTATGACCAGTGACAGATCCATTTGTAGGTGAGGTGGATGCATGTCCAGGAATAATGGGAAATAAAGAGGGGCCACTTACAGAAGGATTAGAAAGGCGTTTATGCATGGATGACCTTCCGTGTTTTTCACTCAGCTCTATTTTACACTGTGGTTAATTCTGAATTCTGAGTTGGTTTGATCATCTACAGTCAAAAGGCTACAGATGTTCAGACTTTATCCTTGAAAAAACACCAGTTTTTGAAACTTAGTTCTTTTTAAATGTGTGTGTCTATATGATTAAATCAGTAGGAAATTAATTATTGTCTAACCACATAAACTTTTAACAAACTGCTTTAAGAATAGCCTTTTTTTTTTTTTTTTTGGTCTAAAATCCTGTTTCGCAGAAACAGCAATGCTGGTGTGTCTCCTCTTAGCATTTGTAGCTCGTGTATACTGAATACTTATTTCAGGCATAAATACTGATCTGGGTTGTGGTAGGATCCAGATATGGTGGCAGGTCTATTTCTGATTTCTTTGATGTTTTTAGGTGTTGCTAAAATTGTAACAATCTGTCCAGTTAGAACTATTTCTAGTGCAATGAAAATGGTGTTTGGTCCAAGAACTAAGATAAGTGCAGCCTGGGGGAAAGGCAAATTTTTTATGCAATTTCTATTGTGGGTAATACTGAAATAACTTGTCTCTGGGTAGGAAAAACATACAAAGTTCTAACTTAAAGAAACAAAGCAAAACAAAAACAGTAACACATGCATGTTTCCAGATGGCAAGAGAACTATTTATGCTCCAAATTACCCTCTACACAGTTTTCATCTCTGTTTTGGAGAAGGAGAAATGCTCCAGCATGTTAGTGATCAAACATACGTAAGAGGAAAAAAAGTACAGGGTATTCACAAGTAGATGTGTGCCCAAGGCTTGGAAAATTATTTATGTAATTTGTTTGACTCAATATGATTAAGAAATGAATGTGTACAGATGTGCATGTGTCAAACTTTGGCTGTATGCAATTCCAACATATATAAAAACACTAATTTGAAGGAAAACATAGACTCCCAAGCTCCTTGCAGCACTATTTACAATAGCCAAGCTAAGAAAACAACCTAAGTGTCCAATGACAGGTGAGTACATTAAGAAGATGTGGTATATATGCATAATGGAATACTACTCAGCTATCAAAAAGGATAAATTCTTGCCATTTGCAGCAACATGGATGGAGCTGGAGGGGATAATGCTAAGTGAACTAAGTCAGAAGGAGAAAGACAAATATCTGATGGTATCACTTATATGTGGAATATAAAGAAATCGAACAAAGGGTCAGATAAAGCTAACCTAAGAACTAACCCTAGAAAGCTGACTTAGAATTGAGGCTGCCAGAGGGGCCAAGGTAGTTTGAAGAGCAAGAGCAAGATGTGGAATGAACACAGTGGACCATGGTGGTGGAGTGGACTACGCATGTCTCGGTGGTGGGTGTGATGTGGAAACAACACTGGAGTGGGGAGATCCTATACTTGTATTACACAAACGATGATGTCAACCAATGTTATAGCAACTAATAATAGTAACATAAAATATATTAAAATAAATGAATGAGGATTTAATGTAAAAAATTGACCTTACAATTTTTATGTTTTATATATGCACAGTGAATCAAAAATTTAGGGAACTATTTGAAAGTAGCGTATCTGCCCATTTTGTGTGCTGCATTAAGGGCATCATTTGTGGGTTACCTTCTGAGCAAAATCTTACTAGGTGATGGACTCTGTGAACACAATTATTTGTTTCCATTGGGGGCGATACTGGCAATGTATTTACATGGGTAAGAGAGTACTTCCCAGCAGGGTAGGGCTTCTGTCATCAATTTTCAGGAGATAGAATGTCTTCAAGCAGTGAAGAGCATCCTTTTCCTAAAATTAATTCAGTGCAAACAGTTTTCTGAGATGATTTTTCCCCCTAGAAT